AGGACCCGGATACATCATTCCTAAAGGAGCTCCAACAGTACATAGGGTCAGAAACGGAAAAAACAAAATTGTCCACATCCATCCCCCCATCCTACTGGAAACAAGGCAGCAACCCTRTCAAAATCACAACCGGCAAGGGAAACCAATCAGCCAGTCAAGGGTAGGCGGAGGCCCCTTATCCCAAGGTCCAATCAGAAAAATAGACACCAGGCTGGGCCAACCGGCCTGCTTGGCAAAAAGCCAAGCCCCAAATCAGAGACACAATGCCATCACGTCGAAAGCAGACCCCCCGATCTTAGAAGCAAAACGAGAGAAAACTTCAGAGATCATCCTGGGTGGGTAATGCCTTGTCAAGAGTTCCCTCTTAACTGCCAAAATCGACTCATGCTTTCCCCATGCGTTAGAGGAAAGCCGAAAAATCCGATGCAGCGTACTAAGGATAGCCCCAACCTTGGCCTTCTTACTAGAATAGGATTCAAAATCCTGGAAACCCCCGTAAACCAACTGCCCGGATTCCCAAAGACTCACCGCATTTTTTACTATAGCCACCGTTCGCAGCGAGGTACCATACCTGTGAACCATAACCCCGACAAAAACCCAATGCCCTAGCTCATCATCCGTCCGTACCAATCTCAGCACTTGTCCATAGCAAGACAGAAAATGGTTCAAAATCGCTTTCGTCTTTCTAACTCCATGCTCTCCCACTACTGCAACGAAAATTGTCACATCATCAACAATTCGGAATCCACGAACCAGGCGTGTCCATACCCAAGGTCCGTAAGAACCTAAATTCAGCATACGAACAGAGGATACAGGCAAGGGGACAGCTGGACGACTTAGCCATAGGGACACCCACCGCCTGTTTCAACAAACATTCATTGGATCGGATGAAAGTAAAACAGAGATCAAAGCGAGCCATCGTTTGAATTTCATCAAGCGATATGAGAATGCACCCCTCTCTGGATCCCCCATAGGAAACCCAAGCCTTCCTACCACGTTTAGCTACCTTAACCCCATGGCACCCTTTATCCCGAAACAAGGAGGTTAACCAATCGGTTGCACTCAGAATGTCCTCATGCGGGAGGGAGGCAAACATGTCCTTTATATCAAAAGAGGCCGACAGGAGGTCATGATAACCCCTCAACTTGCCAAAAGAAATACTCATAGCATCAAGGCCTGGAACAAAATTCATCACAACACGGAGATTGAAACCAGAGTGGGCTGGTAATGCGAACAACAGAGCATTCAGCGCCCTCGCCACCCTGGAGCTAGCAAGTCTAGATGGTTCAGCAAAGGTGGGTGAGATCGGGCGCCAGCGAGTGAGGTCCTTATGCTTGGGCAAAGCATAAGCATCTCCAAATCTGCCCCCCAAATCCCACCTACCCAACCTACTTAATCCAAGGTCCCTCATGCGTTTAAGAACCAGGCTGTCCTCCCTCAAGACCGGACAAAAGGATATATTCCAATTGAACGTCAAGTAAAGGTAATGCCTGTAGAGAATCGGGCAAATAACAAGAGTGTCCGAACAATTGCGATCAATTGGAAGGCAAACAAAAGGTCTGAGGCGTGAGAACCAAGACACCAAATCAGGAGCACATGCATGAGGTGCGAGGTCATTCACTTCAGCCCAACAAGCCCGCGAATGGGCTGGAGTAACAACAAAGGAGGAACGCATATAGCTAGCGACCTTAACAAGCTACTTACCCAGCTGCAGAACGCCATCCTTGGGGAGAACACGCGGGATATTCCGCGAGTTCCTGAAAAAGCAAGGAATACCTGGAATACCCCCGATCCTCGTCAAAATGTGCAATCCCAATCGGTCCGAGGTAGGCTCAAACTGGCAAACACACACCCAAGAACGGTCCTCACGCGAAAGTTGCCGCACCGTATGAAAGTACCCTGCCACCGTACTATTCTTCCTCCAAACCAGACGGATCTTCCTTCGAAGGATGCCTTTAATACCATCAGGAAATGAGGAAGCACCCAGGATCATCAACATCAAACCATGCACTCGTGCGGTATCGATCCGATGATCATAACAAAGCTTTACCACAATCCTGGTGCGCACATCGATCCCCACCCTAGCTTTGCTAGCCCTAGCCAGAACACCCCGAAGGGTAGTGTGCGTGCTCTTACCAGAGAAACCCCGAGCCGCCTTAAACCAACGGATAAGCAAAGCAAGGGGCTTCAATCGTAGGAGACGGCGCGTCCAGGGCTCCAATAACAACAACCGAAGGTGACCTTTGTGGATAGCTCGGCCATTCGGGGTGAACATAACAACACGGAAACACCAAGTACCCCCAAGCTGCAGTTCCGCCTTCAAGTTTTTTAGCAAGTAAGTAGCCATCCCGGCCCGGACCAACGAAAGACCAAAGTTCCTTCGGATAAGCGGCCAGGGCCCAGGTGTCCGCCCACAAATTACCCAAAGAAAGCTCCAACACCAGATTCTTCTGATTACGCAAAAGCGCACGCCTAAGGAAATGCAGCAAGTTGTCCGACCAGACCCCACCCGGTTCACGAAAAATCATCCGGCCAAGAGTGGAAAACGAGGGAACGCTACCCTTTCGGCTGATCCGACCACGCCGTCCATGCTTACGTACCCTGCGCATCCTCCATCGAAAATTCAACACGGGAGAGAAATTCTTAATCAAAGCAGCCTCAACCACCACTACCGATGACACATTGCTCACTAGAGGCACGGTTACGTAATTATCGACCCCTATTATACGCAACCATTGATACAATTTACGGCAATCACCAGAACCATGGATCTTAACCGTGCGCACATGCTCAGCCCATCTGACATAAATCCCACGAGTCGAACAACCAATGTATTGAGCTTTGCATAATGGCGAAGAAAGGACGTAGACCACGGGGCCTGAGTCCCAGGAATCCCAATTCAAACTGAGGAGAAGCGAGATGAACTTCGTCATCCACAAAACTTCCCCTAAGATCGTGAGCCCCACAAAACATAGCGTAGAGCACTTGTCATAAAGACATCGGAGATGCGAAGATCCGCCACCTACAAAAAGCGAATTCCTAAGACGCAGACATTCAAAAAGGTTCTGCCAAAGCCGGAACCGAGCAAACCCACCTTAGCACAAGGCGTACATTCCTCATCACCGGGGCTGCCACCTGTCGGTGCCGGGGTAAAGATGAATCCTTCGTACGCCACCTTGACTCGTTCCTCAATTATCTTCTCGATCGTAGGGGCCTTCGTGGTGTATTGGATTCCTTCCAAAGCACAAATAGCCTTCAACTGGTCCTTGTTCTTCCCCGTGAGAAGTCGTCGTTGCTGCAGCACATAGTTAAGTATCCCTTCTGGGCCACTCCCCACTAGGATCTTAGTTCGATCACGCTCTGCTCCCATCTCCGAGGACTCCGGTCGGAGGTTATCAACCGAGCCGTCATCTTGATGAAACACAGGTTGTCGAAACGGTCTTCTGGTCGCTTGCACAGGCTCCTTACCCCGCCTCTTCTTTTCACGTATCTCATAAAGCTTTGCTATCTCGTCTTCGATATCCTCAATCCCACGGTCTTCAAATTTAGCACATCTCTCACCTTCCCTAAGAGGAGTAACCGAAGCCTTGCACGCAGGTGCGCGCCCTTCCTCCCACCGAGCCTCCTCCCGGGTAACAAGGTACTGCCGCCCTATCTTCATCATTACCCGAGGTTCCAAGGCTTCCGCATTCTGCTCAATCTCCTGCCGGATAAGCTCATCCATCTTCCTTCTCTCCTCCACTTCCCTTTTCCGATTCTGCTCCTCACGCTTCTCTTGAATAAGCTGGCGCAGGAACTCCTTCTCTTCGTTATCCTCCCGCGTGCGCCTCGGCGTCCAAAATCTAGTAGCCACTGCAGGAGTGTTGCCTCCTCCCCCAACATACTGTTGTTGACCTGAGAAGGACACTCCCTAGCGAAGTGTCCCTCGCCCCCACAATTAAAGCATTTATTACCTGGAGTGGCCATCGTACTACAACCTCGTTCAGAAGGACCACCAAGGAGGACTAAGAAGAGGAAGAAGAAGAAGGAAGAAAGAAAGAAAGAAGAAAGAAGGCAAGGGAAAAAAAAGAACAGAATACCAGTAGCTTCACACGTACGCCAGCCGTGGTTAGTAAAAGGCCAACGAAATGAAACCACACCAAAAACCAATACCGCAGAAACTAATCAACAAGCGCAATAATGCGAATCAGATTCAAACTACTATCATGGTACACCATGATCCTAACCAACGTGTCCTCTTCCGGGAACCATAAAGCACACTTGAGCAATACACGATTCATAACCAAAGGTAACACCTAAGCGTGACCACCACCCAGTGTTCAACCGCACTGCAGGTTGTCACGGATATCAGAGGAAAAAGACAGCTCGGCGAGACTGCCTTAGCATGAGAACGGAGGAGAAAGATACACCCATACAATCACTCCGTTATGCACACCCAAAGCTGAATACAACATACACCATCTCCGTATGAGAAAGCATACAAAATGGGAGCTCCGAAGCACACAAATAGCCCGCAAAATTACGAGTGAAAATCATACACGCGGCCGTTCCCCGACCCGTTCGTCTACACCGCCCATAGACTCATCAGGGGGATTAAGCCCACAGAGCACTCCATTCGTCAACTCAGAATACCGAGGCCATACCAATGCCTTGCCTCGTATTTATACCACTACCCTACTCCTAACCTCACATCCCGTA